TGTGTGTGTGTGTGTGTGTGGGGGGGGGGTCAGATCTGGGTGTATGTCCTAATAAGGACAGTAGAGTCACTTGTGATGTAACTTGGACATTTTGAGTCGAGGTCCATTTCCTAACCCCCCCCCTCTTTCCCCCAGATGTAGGGGGGAGGAGCTTGTCCTCTTGATCTGGGGGCTTTAACCCGGCTCTGTTTACTCTCTCTCTCTTTCTATCTGTGTCTGTGCTCGTTCACCCAGCCCTGTAGCAGCAGGAGGAGGAGGAGCAGCTGGTGGGATCGCTGCATTGAGAGGAGTTTCCAGAGGAGGAGTGGAGCCCAGAGGCAGCAGCACAGGTGGTGTCAGTCGGCAGGAGGCCAACCAGGAGCAGAAGGAGAACGAGCCTCTCCTGCACCTGCACAAGGAGGAGAAGAAGGAGGCCGACCAGGACCGTCCCGCCGCTGCTCCCCGTGGCCTCCTCAGACACTGTGTGGACACCAGGGAGCGTGGTGAAGAGGAGCTGCGACAGAGGGAGGCTCAGCAGCTGGACTTCCGCTCGCTGCTGGGACGCCAAGCTTTTGACACCAAAAACAACCAGGGAGAGGAGCCAAGGGAGGCCGGCCTCACCGCTGCTGAGCACCACCACCACCAGATGGATTTTAAGGCCAACCTCAAGGGGGTCAAACCCAAGACGGAGGAGGAACGCAAGGTGAACTCCCCGCAGCAGGTAGATTTCCGTGCTGTACTGGGTAAGAAGGGCACCAATGGCAACAAACTAGCTGAGACACCTGAAAAGGACACCACCGACTTCAGGTCTGCTCTCGCCAACAAGAAGAAGCCTGCCAGCCCTGAGAAGAACGGGGAGAGTGGGAAGACAGCGGTGAACAACTGTGTGGACGGAGCGATTAATGAGAAGAGGAGCTGCGGAGGAGGGAAGGCACTGGAGTTTGTGGAGAAACTGAATGATGTGACAGTGGTGGACGGACAGCGCCTCCGGCTTCAGTGTCGAATCGCTGCCTCCACCTCTGACCCCACAGATGTCACCGTCACCTGGACACTGGACGGGAAGGTCATCAAGCCGTCAAAGTTCATCCTACTCGCCAACGAAGGTCAGAGTTCATACACTTGTGTCTCCATGACAGTGACCAAACTTAAACTTGACCTAAACTAAATTATACTTAGAAACTTCTATCTAAAACTTCTATATTAAACTTCTATCTAAAACTTCTATATTAAACTTTTATATTAAACTTTTATATTAAACTTCTATATTAAACTTCTATATTAAACTTCTATATTAAACTTCTATATTAAACTTCTATATAAAACTTCTATATAAAACAGGCCTTAAACAGTATCAACTGACCCACTGAGGACTTTTCGTCCCATAATGTGAATGTGTAAACAGTTAGGTCCCCAGAATGAGAGTAAGACCACACACACACACACCTGCTGTGTGTGATTAGAAAACCGACCCGTGACCCCGACATGTTTGTTGTGTGTAGAGATAAAGTGTGAGTTTGTTGTGTGTAGTTTTATAAAGAAACAACTGTTCAGACTCTATTAATAGAAAACAGATCTGAGACAATAGAGACAGGATGTGTGAGCAGCTCTGGTATTTCATATGGGAACAGATCACTTTACACAGGACACACACACACATAACCACACTTGTGAGGACCCTGCTGATCTTAAAGGAACATTCCTCCAGTTTCTAGAGCAGAAATAAAGAAGCATCATGATTTCATCTGTAATTGTTCAGACTTCTTCTCTCAGCTGCTGTTCGAGTTTCATGTTATTTTACTTTGAGAATCAACTTCATGTAGTTTCATCTCTATCTCCCCCTGGTGTCTGGCTGCAGTATAGGTCATAAACTCCTCCTCCATGTTAGCAGATGGGACATGGACTACAAAATCAGAGCAGACGTTAAATAAATGTTTGTCCAAGATGTTTCTGTCACTTCAGCTCGTTCTTATCTCACTGATGTTTGTTCGAGTGTTTCTGATCAGTTTGGTTTTAATTAGTTATTTAATGATATAAAAACAGGCGGAGACGTCATGATTGACAGCTGACACTAACTCAGGATTGGTCAAAGACGTGTGTGGGCGGCTCCACTCCACGAAAGCTACTGCACAGACTCTGACCGACAATATACAGTCACTGCTCATCTTTATATCCAGTTAGTAAACGCATCATGTGAATGTCCTCACTAAAGGTCAGAGGTCACTGAGATGTCTTCAGACAGCTGTAGCCTCACAGCTGTGGATGTTGTGTTAACATTGTGTTGTTGTGTTGCAGGAGGCCTGTGCTCTCTGACCATAGACAAAGCTCTGCCGGAGGATGAAGGTCAGTACAGGTGCAGAGTTGAAAGTTCAGCAGGACGAGCTGAGAGCTGCTGCATGGTGCTGGTTGATGGTAAGAACATCCCATAATATATACAAAGATCATTTATTTATACATGACAACAGAATAACACAGGAAGAGGAAATGTCTTTTTTAATGTAACTTTGAAAACGTCAAGCATTCAGTTATTACTGATCTGGGACTTAATGAACATTAAATATTCTCAGTGTAACTTCAGTTTTTTCACAGTTTGAGTTGAGCTCTGACGTCATCATTGAGAAACTCCCTGAATAAATGTGACATTTTAATTTGACATGTTACAATTTTTCCAATTTTGGAAATTATGTTTTTTTTAAATCTTTGATTCAGTTGTGAACTCGTCTTTTAAGCTCTAGAAAAGTTAGTTTGGATGTTTTTTACCTCTGATATGTTGTTTTGATAGAAGAAATGTACAAACTTCTCTCCTTCATCTAGTTTTTCTCTTTGTTCACATCAAATATGAAGCTTTGTCTCGATCTGTTCTTGTTCAACACGTCCTCTAGTTTAACACAGAGTGAAGTTCTGATCTGTTCACGTCTGAGAGAAGCTCAGATTCCTGCGTCCGCTCCCAGTTTCCTGTAATTAGACCCAAGATTTAATGAAGCTGCTTTTCCCTGAAGAGGGTCCAGAGGGGGGGGGGTCTCTCTCATCACATGTGTCTCTCTCTCATCACATGTGTCTCTCTCTTCACATGTCTCTCTCTTCACATGT